GTGAGTGCTGGGGACTCGGTGCCCACGGGGAGTGCTGGGGACTCGGTGCTGCCCCGGAATCAAAAAATTTGTTTATACAACGAAACAGAAAATTTGAAAAATTTAAATTTAAAATTTGAAATGTGAAAATGAAATCTAAAAAAATGTTTTTAAAAGGAAACAGAAAATTTTTAAATTTTTAATTTAAATTTTGAAATGTGAAAACGGAATCAAAAAATTGTTTTTGAAACGAAACAGAAAATTTGAAAAATTTAAATTTAAATTTTGAATTGTGAAAATGAAATAAAAAAATGTTTAAAAGGAAACGGAAAATTTTAAAATTTTTAATTCATTTGTGAGATGTGAAATTAAAATTATAAAAATGTTTCTAGAATCACACAGAAAATTTGAAATTTAATCGCGAGGTGTGAAAATGAAATCTAAAAAATGTTTTTGAAATGAAATAGAAAATTTTAAGAATTTAACCGTGAAATGTGAAAATGAAATGATAAATTATTTTTTTTAAGTTAAAGAGAAAATTTTTAAAATTTAGATTTAACCGGGAGATGTGAAAATGAAATGACGAATGATATTTTCAAAAGGAAACAGAAAATCAAAGGAATTTTAAATTTCATTTCGTCAAAGGAAAAGAATAAAATGCGGAAATAAAATGTAAAAAAATACAGGAAATTCACAGGAAAAGAATAAATCATGAAAATGTGAAAAAAAAAATACCGGAAATTCACCCAGGAAACCAAAACATTGAAATAAAATACAGGAAATATTTTAAAATCACACACACCATGAAAATAATAATATAAAAAAACATTTAAAATTATACAAAAGTAAAATTTTAAAAACTAGATAAAATATATTTCAAATCCACAGACAAAACCCGAGGCGCCGCGCTAAAATAAAAACCACGTGAGAGCCGCAGACAAAACCCGAAATCAAACGCTGAAAATGAAATATTTTTTTGGCAGGATGCACAAAACAAAAATAAAAATGTACGAAGCACGGAAAAATTTAAATGCCTACGACTGGAATAAAATGTCTTTATTTTTTGTTTTTATTTATTTATTTATTTATTTATTTATTTATTTATTTATTTTCTCTTCATTTTAGGATAAAATGTCAAGCTTCGGACACAAAAAAAAAAGATTAAAAAGCACAGATTCCCCATAGAAGACAAAAATAAATGAAATAAAATTGTTGCTGGGGGGGGGGCTCAGGACCCTTGGGGAAAAAAGACGGAAATAGAAAGGAAAACAGGTTCGTGATCGAATGGAAGGTTTTAAAAATCAGTGATTTTCAAACCCAAAAAATTTAGAAATGAAAAACGACGTTTCTGCCCCACATCGACGCCGCGCAGCATTTTGCATCAGAGCGTGATTTCAGAAAAGCAAAATGCAACGCATTTCCTTTTGTGCGCGCTGGAAAAACCACATGAGAAACATTTTGTGGAGAGAAACATTTTAGGTAAAAAGAAACATTTTAGGTAAAAAGAAACATTTTAGGTAAAAAGAAACATTTTAGGTAAAAAAGAAACAATTTGGTAAAAAGAAATATTTTATGGAAAGAAACCTTTTAGGGAAAGAAACATTTTGTGGAAAAAGAAATATTTTAGGTAAAGAAACATTTTAGGGAAAAAGAAACACTTTAAGTAAAAAGAAACATTTTAGAGAAAGAAACATTTTCGGTAAAAATGAAACATTTTATGGAAAGAAATATTTTATGGAAAAAGAAACATTTTAGGTAAAAAAAAAACATTGTAGGTAAAAAGAAACATTTTAGGGAAAGGAGCATTTTGTGGAAAAAGAAACATTTTAGGTAAAAAGAAACATTTTAGGAAAAGAAACATTTTATGGAAAGAAACAATTTGGTAAAAAGAAACATTTTAGGGTAAAGAAACATTTTAGGTAAAAAGAAACATTTTAGGTAAAAAAGAAACATTTTACGCAAAAAAGAAACATTTCAGGTAAAGAAACATTTTAGGTAAAAAAGAAACATTTCAGGTAAAGAAACATTTTGTGGAAAAAGAAACATTTTAGGGAAAGAAACATTTTAGGTAAAAAAGTAACATTTTAGAGAAAAAGAAACATTTTAAATAATCTCAGAAGCAACAGGGACAAAATGCAAATTAAATGTTTTTAAACTAAAGAAATCACTTTTTTGTAAGGAAATGAAACAATTTAACCATCGAGAGGCCCGGGCTTCAAACATCGGAATAAAAGACGTGAAATGGAACCCGGAATCCCGCAGCCAGGACGGTCAGTTCACGAACGACCCTGAAATGACAAAATAAAACAGATATTAAAATTTGATAATAATTAACAATTCAAAAATTAATTAATCAGAATTAAGTGGCAACAAAAACAATCATTTCAATTAAATAATCAAATTAAGTGACGATTCAAACTAATTAATCAGAATTCAACAAAAATAAAATTAAACAAGAATTGAAAGTAAATGACAATGCAAAATTAATTAGTAAGAATTAAGTGGTAACAAAAATAATCATTTCGATTAAATAATAATCCGGATTAAGTGACAATAATTTGAATTAAATAATCAGAATTAAACAATAATCTCGTAATTAAAATTAAGTGACCACTGAAAGCGAATGAACCGGGATTAAATGGAAATAAAATCCATCATTCCAATCGAATGATAACTCAGATTCAGGGACAACGCGAACCACATGATCCGAATTAAATAATCATTAAAATTAAGTGGCAATTCGAAATTAATTCAGCGGAATTCAGTGGCAACGAAACCAACAATTAAAATCTAATAATAATAATCAAATGCTAATAGAATTGAATCTTAACTAAAGTTTAATAACTGAGTGAAGTAATCATTCAGATTAACTGACAGTTGACCTTAAATAATCAGAATTAAATAATAATAAATTTAAACAAGAATTAAAAGTGACAATTCACGATTAATTAAATCAGAATTAACCGGCAGAAAAATAAATAATCATCTGATTTAAATAATAATTGAAATTAGGTGACAAATCAAATAATCAGAACTAAATGATGATAAAAGAGAATTAAAGTTCAATAAAAATAATTAAATGATGATGTAATGAAATCATAATTACAATTTAATAGCTGAATTAATAATTAAAAATAAGTAAAAATTCCAATTAATCAGAATTAGTTGATAATAAATCATATCATTAACACTTGACAATAATAATTAAATGATGATAAAACTGAATAAGAATTAAAATTTAACAATAAATAAAGGACGATGGAATTAAATCACAATTACAATTTAATAGTTGAATTAATAAACACAAGATCAGTGACAATTCAAATTAATCATGATTAGGTGACAGTACATCAGATCATTAAAATGTAACGATAATAATTAAATGATAATAAAACTAAAAAAGAATTGAAATTCAATAAAAATAATTAAATGGTGACGTAATCAAAAATAGTTAAAATTTAATAACTGAATTAATAATCACAACATCAGTGACAATTCAAATTAATCAGGATTAGGTGACAATAAATCAGATCATTAATACTTGACAATAATTAAATGATAATAAAACTGAATAAAAATTAAAATTCAATAAAGATAATTAAATGATGACGTAATTAAAATTAAAATGAAATAAAATTAAATTAAAATTAAAATTTAATATCTGAATAATTAAAAATGAGTGAAATTTCAAATTAATCAGGATCAGGTGACCATAATTAAATGATAATAAAACTAAAGAATTAAAAAGTTGATAAAAATAATTAAATGATGACGTAACTAAAAATAATTAAAATTTAATGACTGAATTAATTACTAAAAAATGAGTGAAAATTCCAACCAATCAGCATCCAACGAGGACGAAATACTCACGAGAAGGAAACGATCACTAAAATTAAACGACAAATAAATTAAATAAAATAACAAACCGCGGCTTCCCTTCCCTCCGTTTCCGGCCATTCTTCGCCCAGGAAAAGCCGCAGACAGGAAGTCCCGCCCCCCGTCGCCTGGACAACGGCGATGACGGACAGCACGGCGGCGCCTCAATGAGGCCGGAGGGACGGAAGCCCCGCCCCGGTCGCCGGGATACAAGGTTGATGGACAGGCGAAGGGATCCGAGAAAGGAAGTCCCGCCTCGGGTCGCTTGGATACAGGGATGACGGACAGCGGCGCAGGAATGGGGTCTACCGGAAATCCCGCCTCGGGTCGCTGGGATACGGCGGTGACGGACAGCGGCGCAGGAATGCGTGGCCCGAGGCTACGTCAGTCACTCCGGAAGTTCCGCCCACGCGGCGGTGACGGACAGCGCCGCCCAGGAATGCGGGCCCCGGGGCTACGTCAGTCACTCCGGAAGTTCCGCCCACGCGGTGGTGACGGACAGCGGCGCCCAGGAATGCGTGGCCCGGGGCTACGTCAGTCACTCCGGAAGTTCCGCCCACGCGGCGGTGACGGACAGCGGCGCCCAGGAATGCGGGGCCCCGGGGTTGTTTACTTCCTGAAGGATTCCTGAGTCACTCGACGGGAACCCGGAAGTCCCGCCCCGGTCGCTAGGACACGCTCGTGAGTGACAAACCATTCACGTCGCAGAACGGAAGTCCCGCCCAAATTGCTAAGAAACCCTCGTAATTGACACCCACCACCAAGACTGGGAGCGGAAGTCCCTCCCTAGTCGCTAGGAAACGCTCATGACTGACACCCCCGACCACGAATGGG